CATGAAAAAGTGGCCTGGTCGCGGGGCCGTTGGGGGCCAGCCATATTGGCTCCACAGTTCTGATGTTCTGAGGATTTTGTAAAGTCGTAAAATTGGATTGCAAATGGCTTTTTATATTGTTGGATGTTTCGTTGTGAAGGCTAAAAATGGCAGACAGGAGGTGTTCACAGTGCTTTCTGCTGTGCCAGGATGATCTGTTTGACATGCTGCAGGTAGCACTTTAACGGTGATAACTGCTCTAAATGTTCAAAATCAAGTCCGCATTTCACATAATCCATTAATTTAGATGTAAATTAAAGTTCTGAGGCTTTACTTAACTTTAGAAAAGAAATAAAGTATTCTCTCTAAAAGCCTTCAATCTGCTCGTGTTGGAGGAAACCTTCCCTCTTCATATTTGTGCCACTAAAGCAATCAAGCAGATTTCCTCCATTATCTCCCAGATAGCTCACAATTTACAGTAGAAGCCTCATGTGATTACGGGGCAGTTTTTTTTTCTCCCAGTTAAAATGGGAAGTTTTAAAAAGCTCTGCATGCAGCACCGTCTCACTTCTTTGTTCTGAACTGAAAAAAACTAACATGCTAAGCTCTCATCGCTGTGAGGAACATTCTTCCCACTGAAAGCAGTGAAAAACAAGCAGACAACAAAGATTGGGATCTCACTGGAAAACAGTGTTACGTTTCAAAAACCAGAGACTCGTAGATGATCTTTGGCCAAATGTTGTCTGTCAGTGGTTCTGGTGTCGCCCTTAGAGATTGACTTCAGTTATTAAGGCTCGACGGGCAAGAGGTAAAAGAACAACAAGTGCCCGGAACACACTCGTAAAAATCTTAAATTCTGATTATGTGTTTGTCTCAAAACATGCACGCATCCACAGACACCCACGCAAGAACAACACACGCAAAAATCACACACTCTGAAAAGCTCCCCTGTTCCCTGTATTTTGCTTGTAATCTCAAACTATTTGCGTTTTCTCTGTCTTTTTCACAGCCTCAGAACACAACAAAGGGATCTGAAACCAGTATTTTAAAAAAGGGTGCCATTCTGTTACGAGCGCCAAACCTGGCAAAGAAATAAAAAAAGATAGAACCGAAGGCCCTGTTTCGAAAACTACAACATCAATAACGCATAAAAAGTAAATACTGTTCAAAGAAGAGTCATAAAGGTGTGTGCAAGGGGGAGGACTCGTAAACGACAATAATGTAATTGATACAATGAAAACAAATCAATCTTCAGAAAGTTCACAGTCTTGTAGCCCCATGTACCAGTGGACAGGGTGAGGATGAGGCCATGGGGGAGGATGCAAGGTGAAAAAAGGGTATCGGGACAAAATAAAATTGCTTTTAGATTTTCTCAGCCTCCAATACATCAGACATGTTTACTGAAGAGGAAAGATGTACTTGATGTTGCTCCAGCTGCTGTGAACAAGCTCACTGTATGCACACACAGATTCATATACACAGAGGTGGGAAGCCTTTACCTTTAAAATCAACTGCATTTTGTAAATATTTTATCCAAAAGCTGTTTTTAAAAAAACAATATAATCCAACTGAGTTTTGGTTATTTTATATGGGCATCTAGCAACCTGATTATGACATGAGGAAAGAAGTGACATGACACGTTATGTAGAGACACAAGGTCTGTGTTGGCTAGGTCCACAAAACACAGAACGTTCCCTTAGGAAGCTCAATTCCAGTGTGTGGCTTGTGTTTCTGCTTCTAAATGTACCAGCGTGGTTTTGCTTTTAAACAAGACCAAGTAGTTTTTTCTCCCTAAATGTAACCAAGTAGTTTTCGGGCCTAAACCAAACCGTGATGTTTCATAATAATAACAGCATAATGACAATTACCAAGACTACAGAGTTCCAGTAGCTAGCAGGCTAGCTAACCATCATGTTTGTGGCTGTTTGCATGGTGACAAAGGTCTGTAAAGCTTGGTAGTGCCAATGTACGTTGTCATTAATGTTGGCAGAATTGCTGCAGTTCCTCACACGACTGCAGGAGCTCTACTTAATGAGACGCCCCTGTGGCCCCTATGAGCGAAGGGACAAACAGGCATATGGGTCATATAGGTTGGAGAACTTGTCTTGTTCACTGGATTCCCAATCACAATAGTAAGGTTAGGGTGACGTTTATAGGTTCCTGACAAGTTCCTAGAAAAACGGGCTATTTGAGACATTCTGGAGAATAACCTTTGCTTCCAAAAATCCATAAAATATCAAATTTAGGCTTCACATAACTTCCCAACCCTGAATATGTACAGAATTAAAATTGTATAAAAGAAAAGCAGCTGGAGAGACATTACTTTTAAGATTCCTCATGTTAGTTTACAAATAGTACACACATTCCTCTTCTTGTCTTCTCCTCTTCATCCTTTCCTTTGAATGACTGGATGGATGCACATGATAGATGAATGGATGGATGAACGTCCCTGCTGTTGGATGCCCTTCAGTGCGCCCTTCTCTTTCTGAAAAGGAGATGAATTATGTGACAGGTGGGGTTGAGGATGGCAGTGGGGGGCTGTTTTGAAGCTGGAGGGGTGCTGGGTGGACGGTGACGATGATGACAATGATGACAGTAAAAATCATCTGATCTCCACAGTACACACACATTCCTGATGCTCCTGCAATTTCCAGATGAAGAGGAGGTGGGAGGTACAGCGTCTTAGTCTATCTGCTGATGAGGCTTAAAATCTTGTCAGGGGATGGGTCAGTGAGGTGAGGATTAAAACAGGAACTAGCAGAAGTATTTGTGGGGTGGGGGGAGCACTGGTACAAGATGTGCTGGGAGGGACTTTGTGACATCAGGGGATAAGGTTAGTGTGTAGGGGAGGTTGACAGGGAATTGTGGGAGTAGGGAGGTCAGAGTTCACATCATGACATGGCGGCGGCGGTGCAGGGAAAGGTGGTCAGACCGGGAAAAGGAGCGGTCGCACTCAGTGCAGCGGAAAGGTTTGATTCCCGTGTGCTTGCGGAAGTGTCGGGTCAGCTCGTCGGAACGGGCGAAGCGCCAGGTGCAGCCCTCCCAGGTACAGTGGTAAGGCTTCTCTCCTGGAGGGAGGCAGGAGATGAGGAGAAGGGTTATGGGAGAAGAAATAATGGAACAAATATATGAGACATAAATACAATGACGATAGATACAAAAGCTTGTGGCCAGTTGTGTTTAAAAGATTTTGATGGTTTTAATCCACTTTAAGGAGCTTTAAATACACAAACTCCAGCTTTGTTCACACAAACACCTAAATGACTAAATATGGAGCTTTTGTAAAACTGGAAAATCACCACCTAAATACAACCAGCCAGTCACATTGGTTTGTGGCTTATGTGTTTTTATTTGTAAGTCACATTTTGATGACTGTCAGAGACAAAAATGACATCACCGTTTTTGAATGAGTGGAACAGGCAGAGTTAAACTCCGATGCAGATAAAAATCATCTTACTGAAGAAATATTCATTTACACTCCCTGTTTGGTAAATAATGAGACAACAAATTCCCTTAACACCCACTGATTTTGTTGTGTTGTTAGTGTTTACTTTGCTCAGGTCTCACCTGTGTGTATCCTCCTGTGGGCTTTTAGGTGGGAACTTTTGGTGTAAACTTTTTTACAGCCTTCATAGTCACACATGTGGATTCGCCTCCTCTTGATGTCTGGTGAATCTGGATCAACAGGCTCCAAGTCCATCACCGATCTGAGAAAGGAACATGAGTGAGTGATGCTGGCCACTCATCACCAACTTTCTAAGCGACTGCCCTGTTTCCTACAAAGAAGTTTCCTATGGACTTTGGATAATTCATGTTAATATTTCAAGGTATATTGTGTTGAGTTTACATTAAGAAATTCCCACTATCCCATATAAAACACTGACCAAAGTAACAAGTTAGACACAAATTTGTCAGCAACACTGTTACCATTACAAAGTCATCAAAAATTCATTCTCTTTCTTTTGAAAGTATAAGACTTGGCTCTGCTGTGCAGTGGTGAGTTTTTGTCTCTCATCAGGTACAGGTAAATTCGATAGTAATCCCAAGGGCCACCAGGGGGCGACTTAGTCGTAAATCTGCACAACAGCTTTCACTTGGCATTACTTTATCTAGTTCTCTCACTCTCGTTGATTCCCTTATATCATGTAACCCTTCTACTTTTACTGACACTCACACCAACAAAAAAGAGAATCCAATAAATTAAACCCATACACTCTTTTATCTTTATCTCCTTCTCCTAAACATTCATTCATATATCAAAGATTGACGCATCTGTTCTGTGATGATTCTGATTTATTATATTTTTTTAATGTTCATTTGACAACTGTGGTGTAAATAAAGTTGATCTGAAAAAAAAACAACACTCTCCCTAGCCATTTTACAAGGAGGTGTGACAGAAAGCTACATTATGTAACCTTGTTTATATCCCAGTTCTGGGACAATCCTACCCAACAACACACACACATCCAGACATGCACACAAATAGTTCTTACTTGCACAAAAACAACAACAACAACAACAACAAGACAAACATACTTTTTCACTGTATTTCTCTTAAACATTTTCTCTCTCAAACACACTCACATACAGTAAATAGAGCCACACACACAGCAGATTACAGCACTAAACTAATTGTCTACATCCACACCCTGAATTTCTGTTGCACTCACGCAGCCTCACCCACTGGGTGTGGCTGCAGCTCTGACCTGATTTGCTAACACACACACACACACATACACACACAGGCAGGCATTTTACTGTGACCTATTAAGGTTAGGGTAGGAGCAGGAGATTATGTCAAATGTCCACACTTTTCTCTAGAGCACCAAATCCTCATTTATGAAGTGTGTTCAGAGCACACATACACATAAACAGACCATAGACATGCACACACTCATCTCCCTGTAATACAGCCAAGGTGTCTCCAGTCTGTTCTGCTGTACAGAGGATTATATAAGGTTATATAAGCATCCAGTCATGGTAGCACTGCAGTAATGTAATTAGCCAGCAGGCCGCAGGCAAGGGAGATGGTCCACACAAAGACTGCATTTCCCACAAACCCTACGGTGCATCAGTGTCTCTCTCCCCAGCCTTTCTGACTGTACACTCAGATGACATCACACATAATTTGTGGCATTTATGTGCCGTGAACATAACATGACATTCAGATCTCCAGACAACTGATGTTTCGAGTCTGATCAAGAATTCTTGCACTCTGTTAAACATATAGTAGTTACAGTCCAAATTAGCTTTATCACCACACAGATATAAATTCAGCAGAACAATACATATTTAAGGTTATCATAGACATGTGGTTAGCTAGTTAAATGCTAAAATGTTCATTTTGCTGCTGTCTACATCTATCACTGCACATTTTCAGTCCCATCTGCTGCAGTCACTGAAATCAGGACTGCGTCACGTGCATGCTAATGCACATGCTGGTACAGAGCAAACAAAACGACAACAGCAAATGCACACATGGAAAATGGTGATTTTCCATGTGTGTCGCATATTCCTCAAGGAATGTAACCGTTTCATGTATCAGTGTTTTAATATTGTAAATACAGTCACACAAGTGTGGGAAAATTTAAAAAGAGTGCCTAAATACAGTTTGTATCTTGTGTCCTTGTGTGGCATGGACTCACCCTGCATCAAGGCTCTGGGCACTGAGAGAGGCTGATCCGGACTCTGTACCGCTCTCTGCATCGCTGTCACTCTGATACTCCACTGGAGACGTAGAACCTGGCTTAATACGAACTGTGGAGATGACAGGACGAGGGAGCGATGATAGAAGGATAGAGGGAACGAAGGAACATAAAACAGAAACAGTGGTACAAATAGAAAGAAAAGATGGACATTCAACACAGAAGGCAGGATGAAAAGAAATTGAGGAGGGATGATAGAGGGCATGAGACCAATTGAGAGATCAATCAGTAAATAGAAGAAGCAGAACAGAGAAAAGTGAGAGAATCAAAGAAGGAGAGGAGTGGAAACAGAAAAGAACAGCAGGAGGTTAATAACTTCTTAACAGTGATGCCTGGATTCCAGCAACTTAGTAAGGCAAAGACTTGTCCCAAGTGTGTGTGTGTGTGTGTGTGTGTGTGTGTGTGTGTGTGCGTGTGCGTGTGCAGATACAATATGTGGCCTGCTAAGCTACAGAACTGATGGATCAAAACTGCTGGATTTCACAGCCAGTCTTTCTGTTAAGAGAAACATCTTGTCCGAGCAGTCATTCTCTTCTTCTCTCCTATTTCGACAACCTTTTACGATGTCAAAGCAGGAGGAACACGATGCAAACAGATTATAATACAAAAATATTCTGCAGAAATCTCAGACAATGCTAATTAGCAGTTAGCTGAATGACAAATCTTTACACTATCAGAAGTTTCTACTGGTTGTTTTGTTTTGGAAAGCACACATTGGCTTTTTTCCAGGGAGTATAATCAATAAGTTGTGCTCTTTTTTGATAGCTTAGTGGAACTGCCTGGAAGATATTTTCCGTTGAATGCTGTTATTAATGTTCATCTTAGCTAATATGCAGAGGGAACACAGTTGTTTCTGGAAAGGTAGGTCTCTCAGTGTGCAGTTCTTTCTGGAAAGGTAGGTCTCTCAGTGTGGGATCGATCATAATAGATCACAAAATCATATATGGAAAGCTGCTCTAATCAATAGTTTTATACCAGATTCACAAGAGGCTATTATGGAACCAGGTGTACATACACATTGGAAATTTATTTCAGCTTGCAGCACCTCTCAAAGAACATTTCTATCACACACAAAAATAAAAATAGAAGAGGTAAAGGGTAGAAAGAGAAGGAAGAAAAGTGGAGTTCTTTACAAATGAGGTAGCATGGAAGGGTCCGGGTTAATTGTTCATGAAGGAGACAGCCTGTAGAAAAAAGCTGTTCCTGTGGGAGGAGGTTTTTGTTTATAGGGCCCTAAAATGTCTTCCAGAAGTGAGCAGTTCGAACACGTGATATGCATATTAACAATGGATCAAATGACTGCACAGATAGTTATCAGCCACCTCTAAAGCTCTTCTCAGCTCTACATATCATTTTAATGTCTTTCAGCCTATTGTTTTGGTTTTACACTCACAACTTGAATTGTTGAGGTTTGCTCTCAGTGCTATGAAAAGCATTGATTCACCAAGTGTCCTTAGAGAAAAGCTCTAACAATTTCACTGTCTGCCAAGTACCGACTAGCAAAGTTTACAACTGAACGTAGCAAGCTGTTTATCTGTGAAAGAGTTAGATATGAGAGATGATAGACTGTAAATAAATTAGCACAGTGTGAATTAAGCAACCAATTCCTCAGGTTTCTAGAGTCTGGACAAGTGCAATAATCTAAATGATACGATTATAAAAATTAGTGATGAAAGGAAGTGGGTGAAACATCTATCCTTATATTGGTTTAGGATAACTCCATGGTCAGTCAGTGTCTCTCTCTCACTTCTCTCCTGCATCACTTCCTCTTCTCTTCCTAAAATTCACAATTTGACGACTTGAAAGCAAACTACCAAAGCTGAAAACACAATATGAGCAAACAATGTACAATTTCTGCACCAAAATCAGACTAATTACATGTGGTGGCAAAACATGATGAATGACACCCCCCTGAAAAACAGTTGTAGGAATGTGGTAGGCATACTGTTCAAAGTCCACTCAGCCTGAAGAGAGGGAAGAGAGGTGGGGCAGTTGGATGGGTGACACAAGGAATTTGGGTGGAATATCTGTGGGTGTGTGTTGGTGTGGGGAGGTCACACACCAAAAGAAGTGTTCTTTGTCTCCAGAGACAATTAAGCTGCCCCCACCCCTCCGCCACTGCAGCCTTCCTTTTTTTTTATCCAAAGGCAAGACAACACATCTCCTCTCCTCTCCCTGCACCCTCCCCTCTTCATCCGTCCTCACCCCTGCAGCATACCTAACTCCATGCCACCCCTACCTTCACTTCACACACCCAGTCTCACTCTCCTCCACCCTTAACCAAGCCTTCTTTCTTTCTTTTCCTCCCACACAAGACCACAGCACATGAACAGTAAATATCAACTGCCTCCTGCTTGTTCCCTTTGCAGGTAAAAGAAAAGGAACAGGAAATATCAAAGTCCCCATCTTGTTCTCTTGCTTTCTCCCTCCCTCGCTCATTCCCCTCGCCTGGCTCACGTCTTCACTCTTTGTTTCTGTTTTTCTGTTACATGACTCCTGACTGTGAAATGTAGCACCAGAACAGAATTTCAATGTGAGCTATACGAGAACATAAAGCTCCTTCACAGACAACTTCAGAATCCACACTGTTAAAATAGGACCAGTACTTTTAAAGCTCAGTTGAAAATCTTTTTTTTTTTAGTTGCTGACCTTAAGCATTGACGTGGACGTTCAGGGTGTGGCAGTACACCATAACTTCACTGTTAGGTGTGGCGACAGGTGCAGCACTACGGAACAAGCTGCTTTCAACCTGGTATTAACTTACTCTTCAGTGCCAAGAGATTTCTGTCACTGACATTTACAGTCAATGAAGCAGTCAGAGATGTCAATCATGGCTTGAATGAAATGGTAAAATGTCATCAACGTGATGTCATTTGTTGCACATTGTTCCGGCAAAGTGAAAACAAAGTAAAGCAAAAATGTAAATTATAATACTCTATGATGCAACACATTTTGGCACATCTGGAACGTCACAGACAGTTGAAGTCAGACAGTTTGAGAGTATCCTCAGGACAGTTTGTATGCTGCAGATCCTGGCAGAAGTTTCCGAGAATTACTGCGTCCCTCGTTTACATTCCTGAGTCAAGGCTGCTTGGGTTGGGATTAGAAACCAAGGTGAACTAAACTGAATTTACTGAGGGGCTTTACTGCAGTTTGTGAAGGGGTGGAGTTCTGTTTTGCTAGCTTGCCTGAGCAAATGTCAAGCTTCCTTTTGTGTTTACTCAGGGATGGATTTCACTCCCTTTAACCTTTCTGTTCATTGCTGTTTATTTAATTGATTGGTCAGCTTGGACTGTTTAAGGCGCTCCTGACCTATTAAGCTGACATGATGACAGCAGAACAAACTGATTTCAGAGTTGCCTGAAACAAAGTCTCCTTCACTTCTTTGTCTCTAGTTCTTCAATACTGATAACCTGTTTAGGACACCCGAGGAGCAGAACTTGACCAAGCACAAGTTATAAAACCACAGGTTAGTAAATCAGCAACCTGCACAGCAGGTTCCTCTTTTGAGTTATGAAATATCTTGAGAGAGCGGCAGGCTGATAAAGTGGTTAGCACTGTCATGTCACAGCAAGAAGGTTCTGGGTTCGAACCTCGTGCCTTCCTGTGTGCAGTTTGCATATTCTCCCTGTGCCTATGTGGGTTTTCTCTGGGTGCTCTGGCTTCCTCCCACAGTTCAAAGATTAGACTGATCAGCGACTCTAAACTGCCCACAAGTGTAAAAGTGAGTGTGAGTGGTTGTGTGTCTCTATGTGTTGCCCTGACTAGTGACCTGTCCAGGGTGTATCCATTGGCCTGATGTCAGCTGTGAATGGCACCAGCCCCCAACATGACCCTCTGTAGGATGAGTGGTAGGAATAATAAATAGATTAGATAGATTTCCCCAACAAAATATGAGAAGATGGAGTCAGCTGTGTTGACAGCTGAATTTCAAGCAGGAGCATTATTTTACAACATACATAACATTTCTCTCTGTGAGTTTCCTCATTTTATTGAGGATATCAATCATCTGGCACATATGGACAGCATCCAGAATGACAAAGATAGACAGGCAGTCAGACGGCAACTCTAACATACCCCTAACCACAAACACACACCAGCTCCCTCTGGAAACACACCGTACTCCCCTGAGGCCGAGAGCTACCCTTAAACGACAGTGTGTGCAAAAGGAACAGAACCATAGAAGAACAATGGAGGGTGTGACAGTCAGAGACAGAAAAGCTCAGCGTGGAGAGGAGAGGTCTAGTAAGCTGACAACATCTCACACTGCCTTCCTTTTCCTAACTGGTGTTAATTTGCAAAATTTTTACCTACCACTCCCTGTGCTATGTTCCACCTCAACATCCTGTTTCAACATAATGTGCATGAGACTGAAGGAAGGAAGAGTTTTAAAACTGCTGTTTCATTGTAACATAAAACATCTTTGTACGAAGTGGTTGATGCTGTATGATTTTCACATAAATGAGACTAACTGTCAGACTGAGGCAGCAACACAGAAGGCCACCGCTTCCACACTGTGGTGGTACAAAATGCACAAGCAGTAGTTGAAGTACTGGTAGCAGTTGTAGTAATAGCAGTAGTAGCATTAATAGTAGCAAATCATATGATGTTGTTACTTGACACCCATTTGATGCAGGGGAGGCACATCAACACAGCAGATTTAGCATATAACATAAAGTTATAGGACTATTAGTTGATTATTCATCTGAAGAGCCAATCGCCCGAGCTATGATTTGCCTGAGGGTGTATTGTTTATTAGCTGAAAGTGTGGGTCACATTAGAAAACATGTCCTGACTTGACAAGAGAAGAAGTCATGGCACAGCAGAGAACAGGCTTGAAAATAGTCCAGAGGTCTTATCTGCTACAATACATGACTCACTGCTGCTATTTAAAAAATAATGGAGGAGGTTGTTTTGACACTTGGCACACTATCAGCATGGATTAGACCTAGCAGTAGTAATGATAGCAATAACAGTGTTATTATGCTAAGGTTTGGTATGTAATGTTCAGAATGTTTTATTGTTTTGCTATGATTCATTTGTTCAGAAATTAAAATAGGTCTGATTGACAGCTGCTTCCTTGTTTGGAACGGCAAGGACATTAAAACATAATTGCATCACTATGAAAAATGAAGAAGAAAAATGGTGCATGGATAACATCAACACAGCTTTACAGGTTGCTGTAAGACAGTTATAACACGTCAGCTGAAAATGATACATATGTTGTATGTTAGTTACTTCTGATTGGCCAAAATAACTCCAACACACAAACAAACATCCTTGTTTTTGTCACTTAGTTGGGCTTTACAGCGACTTACATTCATTTCCCGGCGACTTATCCTAGCCTGAACCATAACCACAACTTGCCTAACCCCTGACCTCACCCTAACCTAACCTACCCTTAAACCAAGTTGTCTCTCTAAAGTTCAATGATTTGCTTTGTGGGGACTAACATCTGGTCCAGGATTTGGCTCCCACCAGGAAGGTTGAGTCCCCATCGTGTGAGTGTGTAAAGAGGTTTCAGTTCCCACAATGTAAGTAACACCAAGCGCGTGCACACGCACGCAACAGCTGGCATGAACATGATGTCAGACTGAATAATGAAGTGAAAACTAAATGGAATTCGGTGACATTATGTGACAAGCTCTCAAAGAGGATATTAGCTAATGTAGTCTGTTTGTGTACCATGCTAATGTTTAGTTATTGTTGGCATGCTAGAATATTACAACTGATCATAAACTACAGCTGAAGCTGATGGAAATCATTTTATTATTTTAAAGGTCATGAATTAAAGTATTGTATGAAGACTAATATCAATCTACAGTATGAAAAATCCAGATCAATCGCCATCGCTGTTGCTTATGGGACTACGTCAGGGTGCAGCAGTAACACATCAGTAACAGGAACAGCATAATTATTATTATTATTATTACCATTATTTCCTGTATTCCCTGGCAGAGATTAATTAATAAAGTCCTATCTGATCACTGTTAAGATGTCTTCCTGGAGATTTTCAGTGAACCACCCACCTGAGCCTTCTGAGCGACCGTCACTGCCTATGAGCGGCACTGTAATGGCTGCTGTGGCAACGCCATCAGTAGACATTGTGGTGTAGACAACAGGGAGCGACTGCACCACCACGGGGATGGTTTGCAGCTGGCCCACCTTGCTGGGCATGCTGACTGAGGGGATTGTATGTATGACGTGGAGGATCTGCTGTCCCCCAGCACCCTGCGTGGCTAAGATAGAGCCTGGAGAGAGTACCTAGAGGGGAAGAGGCAGGGAATATGATCAGCCACTCAAACCTTACTGTATTTGTCGTCCCAAAGCTTCACTATAACAGTGTAGGAGGTAAGAATTTGTGGTTACCATGGACCCTATCGATTGTACCGTGGAGGGGACAGGTGTGGCTGGCAGGCCGGGTTGGGTCACGGCACTGCTGGGTGCAGGGTTGACTGTGCTGCTTGCTGTAGAGGCAGTGAGCGAAAAGACGCGGGGTTTGTTAAGAGACAAGTCAACGGGTTCCATCTGGTCCTCAGCGGGGCACGGCTGGGGCGAAGAGGGTTCTGTCTTGCAAACTAGCGGCTCCTTCTTCACCTTCAGGTCTGTTGGCTGTGGGAAGTTGGCACCTGGCTGCTAGAGAGGAGACAGGAGGGGGTCAAAGACATCGAAGAGAAGTTAAGAAAACTGACCGTAATTAAACTTAAAGATGACACTGAAGTTTTGTGTACCTTCATGACAGAATAAGACTTTAACTCCAAGAAAAAAAAATTTTTTAGAATAAAATATGGAATAAAAGATAAATATAGAAAATAGACAAAAAAAAGTTAACATTTCCATAATTGTAGATCTATTAGTAGCTACTTAAGGTCGAGGCAGGGTTTTATTTCAGATTTTACATAATGACTCCTGCAATTGGCTGAGTAAACTCCTTCTCAAATTAATCTGAGTTTATATTCTGAAAGACCAGTATAGGCCTAATTTTACTGGCAAACTGATGTATTCAATAGACTAATCACTGTTAGGTCCCATAAATGCTGAGATGTTCTACTTTATTGTTTGAGTCAAACAATCCAACAAAGATGAAATGATTTTATTATTTTTATTCTGTGCTGTGAGACTGAGCTGGAATCACACAGGCAGAGGAAACACAGCACTTCAGTTTTTTTTTTTATACAGTCACGTCACCTGGCTGTTAAACAGCCATGGTAATAAATGTACATAAAAACTCAGGAAGAGAAGTTAACTCCAACTCACAGGGTGAATTTAAATCATCAGCTAACAGTTTTGTTGTGTGTGTGGTGCTAATGGCAGGGAAAGATGAAGACGACACTGTTTCAGCATTTGCCCCATTAACTTCTACCTTCTAACTAACTTTGGCTGAGGCTCATGGGTATTGTAGTATTTAGATCAATCAGCCAAACCAAGCTGGCAGAAAAAAAGAACTGCTTCACCCTGGGTTGATGCTTTCATATCCTTTGCATCAGGGGTATGCATACTATGCCCTAGTTTTCTCAGCCTCCTCAGAGGACCAGAGCACCCCATTGGCCTCTACAGCCACCCAGGGCTCAGCTGCCATGTAGCTTGAAAGCAAAGGGAACAATGGCTGCTGTGTGGAACACCAGAGGGGAGGGTAGCTGAAAAAGAGAGAGAAACAGAAAAAGAATGGCTGGACGAGTATACAGAGAGACTGGTACCGACTGAGAGAGTAAAAAAAGAAGAAGAGGAAGAAGGAGAAATGTGAATGAGAAACAGGAGAAACAAGTGAGGCTGGCTCTGAGTGAGGAGGAGAGGGTGGAGCTTGCACTATAGCCTTTCAACAGGTCACACAGTTCAGCTGGAGCCTGGACTGTGTTATGGTTGATGAAGACAAACATGAAGGTTAGCAAACTACCCCCTGCAGTTAACAATCATTAGGCTGCATGTGAAAATAATCTCTGTAAAGGGAACATATTGGTGATTTTATATGTCCTCTTTACCTCTGCCAGGTTTGGAGGAGGAAATTAATTAAGGAGCTCTGGCAAATAGGAAAAGAAATGAGCAAAGAAGGGGGGAGGCTTTGACAACACGTAAGAAAAACATATGCAGCACCTGCACCAAACTTGGCTAAGATAAGGAGGAGTTTAAAGAGCTCTATATTAAGCAAGCAGGAAAAGAAAGGAAAGACAGGGGGAGGAGAGAAAGGGGAAGGAGAGGAACGAAAGATCGGCAAAGAACAGGAAGCTGGGTCGTTACACAATTATTGAAAGATATCCTTAAAAAAGAGGGAAAACTGTGAAAGAAGAGATGGAGTGGGTGCGAAAGAGAAGAGAAAAAGAGAAGCGAGGAAAAAAGAGTGGGTGGGAAAGGCCCATTGTTGCCATGGAAACTGGGAGCTATCAGCTGACTCCATGTTTTCCACTTGTTCCCCACCCACCACCAATTCCTTTCCTCTTCCCTCCCAGTCCGTTCATCTTTCTATCCCTTCAACCCCACCTCCTCCTGCCTTTTTTCATTTACTTCACCCGCTCTATTATGGCCACACCCCGTTTCACCTTTCTCTCCCACAGCCTCCGCCTGTCCCTGCAGCATCTCTCGCTCTTTACATCAGGTGCACTTTTATTTCTTCCCACCTCACCCTCACATCCCTCGCTGGCTTCGTTTTCACTCACTCTCTCTTGTATTTCTCTATTCTTCTTCACTTTTGTCTGTTTTTTTCTGTCCTCTTTTCACGGTTGATCAGATTAAACTCACAACTCTTTTTAAAATCCTCAAGTCCAATAGAAAAAAAAAGCTTAAGTGGACAACTGCAAACTCTCAAATCTGAGAGACAATTTGAAGAAGAAAGAAATTAGAGAAGGGAGACAAAGAGAAACTTTCTGATATGAGGACAGTGTGATTGGCTTAACTGTAGAAGGAAAAAACTGTCATGATTCTGTGCCCTCTGCTTCCGTTCTCATGCTCTTATTTTGACACCACTTCCTGTCACGGTATCATTGCAGCTACGGACTCTTTGCACTAGTCAGTGACAATTGTTTGCACCTGTTTTCACCCCTTTATAGGCAGTTCCCACCAGGAAGCTGCCAGATTGTTCTAACTTATGTTCAGACTTTCCAGCGTGTTTTCTTGCGCCTGTTATTCCAGCTCTGACCCTGGATTGCCTTGTAACACCTTGTAAAAACCTATCACCATGGTCACCAGCTCCCCAATGTTTTACAGTGTGTCTTTAACAAGTTACCAGGATGTAAAAAAAGTCAAACGTCATGTGGAAACAAATCATCAGCATAGTGCGGCTGCATCGTAATAGCAACTGTCTGTCAGAGTATGTAAATGTGCTCAACACAGCACACCTTCAGTGCTACAGAGTCGCTGAAGGCCCAGCATCCACGTCTGAACGCGTGTGGCAAGTGATGTCTCTCTTGTCACATAAAGGCAAGAATCTGAACCTCACGTGAAACTACATCTTTATCTTGGCCTCAAGTAAAATCTATTTGTGTTTATCTCTGAAACAATCACAACAATCTGCCAGGCCTGGAACACAATTCGCCTTAAACAATAGGTTAACTTGTCTGAATGCACCAAAATGGGGAAAAAAACCAATCCTCACTGAGCCAGCTGTGATGCAGCGGAGCTCGCCACAGCACTCTGCTCTCCCCTTGCACTTCTCAGTTCAACTGCTCCACCATAAAATGGGTCACCCAGTCTTCATCTTGCAGTTAATTCATGTGATCTCTAACGTGAATGGAAGCGGGTAGCAGCTGTGACTGCAGTGGTGAGAAAGCCAGGCAGAGAGGAAGAAGTAACATGTCCTGTACTCACACTAGATCTCATACAGATGAAGTAATAAGCAAATACAGTATCCTCGTATGACCAAAGAAGGCTCTTAACATGGTATGGTGTGTACAATTATAGCTCAATATTGACAGTATATTAGCAGAGCTGGACCATTCGTAATTTCATCTTTCCTTTTTCCTACCAGTTTGGCTGTGTCTGACACACCGTGACCACAAACCAAATTCAGATCACCTTGTTACCAAGTGTGTTTGGGTTTCTTATGTGCCAGTTTAACAGTTTAAGAGTTAGTAGGTAACACAAACTATGTCAACACTGACAGACTTGTCACACACCTTGGTCAGCAGCCACATAACATACTGATGACAGGGTACATGACAAGTGGGGCCAACAGCAGCAGCTCCTGTACCAAATTCTCATTAAGAAATGACATTTTCATGACAACATTTCCATTTACTATGTTATGACTGCCTTAGAACAGACTGCTAGTCATAATCTCATTGCTTTTGTAAGATGGCAGATGTTCAACACACACCATCTGTTCTTCAACTCAGTAAGTAGAAGAAAAGACTAACAGCATTGCATACAGCTTTCAGAGTGCTTAAATATGAAATGGAGATGTTGGGCCTTAGGTAAATACAGATAACTCTCCATTTAAAGAAGCAGGTATTGCTAGTCACAAATCAATCCTTTTTGGCACGAACTTTTCCGCCATCCATTGATAAAATAGATTACTTATTAATTTAGCTGTACAAACCACAGTAACTGAGTTCCGGTTTTGTTTTACGCTGGAGTTTTCACTTAGCAGATTCTCTCTGCTGCTGCTAGCCTTTCAACTGTTGCATGTCTCCTTTCCAAAATTATTCACACAGTAAAAAAAAAAAAGAAATGAACAACCAAATCACAGGATAGAAACAGGAGGGTGCACACAGAGTACAAGCTGAATTCCAGTGAAGCCTAATAAGCTTCCAGTCCATGTCACTGGTGTTTCTTCCTATAGGAAAAACTCAATAGCTCCTAAGGTGAGACACTTACTGCTGTGGCCACTTGTAGTATATATGAAAGGTGAAGGGAGGATAGAGGAAGAAAAGGAAGCACTAGCAGGCAGTGGTGGAAAAAGTATTCCAATCTCTTACTGAAATAAAAGTAACAGTACAATAGTGTACAAATACTCTGGTACAAGTAAAAGTCCTGCACTCAGAATGTTACTTAAGTACAAAAGTATTAGCATCAAAACAAACTTAAAGTACTAAAAGTAAAAGTAATCATCCTGCAGAATGGCACATTTAATATTATTGTATGCCATATGATTTGGTTATAATTACTGATGCATTATTATGTACATCACATTTAATGATACAGCTGGTAAGGGGGGGGGGGCTATAGTCAAGTAAGATAAAATACAAATGATGGATTATGGATGCATCATAACTCATCGTCCAATATGCTAATAAATAAAAGTACTGCTGGGTAATGTGTGAATTTTCCACAGGAGATCAATAAAGTCTTATGATAATACTGCAATGTTTGTATTAATCTGGTTCTGAAACGTAACTAAAGTTGTAAAATAAATGGAGTGGAGTAAAAAGTACAATATTTGCTGCTAGGAGGTAAAGAGAACAGAAGATGGATGAACTGATGAGAGGCACCTTTGGCACTGATTTGCTCATGTGTGTCAGTGCCATCTATGATCAGCAGGGCATACATGTGTGTTCACTTTGTAGGTGCATGTGCTGCATGTAAGTATATCCCCTGTATACGTGTGTACGCCCAAGGAGCTGGAGCATGAGGGCAGATATGGAAGATATACTAAAGACACAGAGCAAAAACAACAGCTGGGGGAGATATTAACTACGAAGCATGCT